TCTAGTTCTGATTGTTATTTCATTTTCCCTGATGAGAACTGACTTCATGATTTTCTATTTCAGAACAACCATCAAGTGAATTTTCCGATTTGATGAATTTTTCTTCCTGGAATGTCGGTGGTTCTGTGGCTGCTGGCGAGCAGTGTATCATTGAAAATTATTCCACTTGGTCATTGGTCTCTTTCTTGATTCAAACAATTTTAGATTCCTACATCAATAATTACGTTAGATGCTGGGGTGTTTCCATGAAAAGTGAGACGGAATTTATTATTTCAGAACTGGAAATTTATCAGAAGGAGTATGAGTAGTTAGTGAATGAGACGTTCTGCTTCCTGTTCTCGAATCCGAAGTGATTTCCAACTTTCTTTTGTCTGCTAATATGATTTTCCGGACATGTTGGTGGTTCCATGGCTGCTAGCAAGCAGTGTATATCAATGATGGTAATTTCAATTGATAATTGACTGTATGTTTAGAATATTTCTCCCTCCTGTAAGTTTAACAATCATAACTCAATAATTACGTAAGATGAGGGGGTGTTTCAATGAAGAGTGAGACAAAAATGAAATTCTCAGAGCTGGGATTTCATTCAGAAAAATATAAATAGTTAGTAAATTGGGCGTCCTGATTTTCAACCTATTTTGCCTCCTAATATCATTTTCTGGAAATTGCGGTAGGTCCATGGCTGTTGGCGAGCAGTGTATATCACTGAAGATGACCCCACTTGGTCATAGAGTACCTTTCTGGTATATCTCTTGCTCCAGGAAATACGTAAGATACAGGGGGGTTTCCGCTTGAAGTTTTGAAATTTATCGGGTAAACAGAAATCATTCGATGTTGAAAGAGGCAACTTGTTCCTGCTTTCCTCTCTCAGAATGGTTATTTTCATCAATCAAGTGATGGTAAAATGGCAGCCATTTCAAGAGTCACAGAATTAATTATATCCTGCAGAATATGGCTTGTTCGATTCAATGTTTCTCTTGCACTTTTCCTGAGAAGATTTGATGCTCCTATAACTTCTTTTCTACGGGCATCTGGTTGGTGTGAATGCTCACTTCTCGTGTATACCTCATCTCCGTCTATGGCAGAAATCATTGTATGTGCTCTCCCTTTGCAAGTTTTCTTACTCACATCTCCAGTAGGTTTTTTCATTTCTTCCTGAATCATCTACATACACATAGCCTTCGAAGTAAAGCTTCTTTTTCAGTTTTTCAGTTTGCATAAAACACGTCATTCGGCATTTGATACTATTCAGTTGACAACAAGGTGACATATTATGATATTCGACGAATTGACCCAATTTCGTCCAACTGACTGATTGACTTTCGACGAATCAACTTCGACTAATTGACTTTCGACGAATAGACTTTCGACCAACTGACATCGACCTTTATTGAAGCGTTCTCGGTCAGGATCACTTGTTTATTGATATAATTATCACTTTGTTGAATATAATTTCGGGTTCAATAGGTTTTGTTTTATTTTGGTTCTGTGATGGCCTTGTATAATTTTCAATCAGAAGGTCACGAAGGTTCGAAAAGGTGAATTAGGAGGAGGAAAAGTTGTGCGCAGCAGGAATCAGCAATATGGGCCCACGAGGGTCTACTTGCTAGGCAACCACCTCCCCTTTCACTATTACTACTACTATAGTGTGTATATAAACAATTAATTGATACAATTTCAATTCTCTACCACTTGTAGTAACCCGAAGTTGATATAAAATGAACCAATATAATACATTCTGTAATCGTATTTTCATGCAACTTCTATTGGAAGAAATTAGCAATTTGTGATCTAGGAAACTATCAAGTGCAGAAACTGCGATCCAAACTCAATTCATTCATGAACCTATATGAAAATCAAATGGGTAAATACATTCTGAAATTATCGAATTCCCAAACACAATCAAGAGTGAAATTTTCTAACCGAACACCACACAAGTTTAAATTATTTTTCGGTAATTTTTTCTAGCTCATGGATATTTTGAAAATTCTAGGTATACCTACCCACTATGGTAATTGGAAAGAACAACATAATATGTATGACTCGATTATCTTTAATAGTATATACATCTATCAAAATTTACATACCATTCACCAGCTCACCTACACCTGATATTAAATAATTTAATATTACAAAATTGTAATGTAGGAATATGTACAATTATTATGATTCAAATCTCCAGTACCAATGCATACTTTGATGCAGAAATGTCTGTATTGATACCTACTTCATAACATGTTGAGGCTGTGTATTATACAGGGTGTTTCAGATTTGAATGTACATACGATACCTGTAGATAGGGGACACTGTGATGCTTCCAAATCACCCCCCTTTGATGTGTCTACCATTTTTTATAACTGAGATACAGGACGATATCTTGATTTTGGCAAAATCATAATCTGTTCATAGCTTTTGAACAACTTTGTATAATTTATGCATACTTGGTAGAACTATTTCACTGATATTACCCATCAAAACTAAATGAAGATCGGGATCAGAATCCAGATCCGTCTTGAGAAAAAACAGAAAACTTCTTTTATATCATAAAAAACACTCTGTATGGCAAAATTTTTTAGATCTGTTTCAATATTTGGAAATAGCAGGTAAAAACGAATGTAGTGACCTACTTTTTACCACCGCGCATCCGATTTGAAAGATGTTTTATTATTATTTTCTGACTCGGTTCCATTTTGAGTCATTTTTATTGCACTGGTAATTCAAAATCCAATTATTTCACAAAATAATAACGTCCTACGGAGTTCATCATCATTGGGGTGGAATAGATATAGATCTGTTCGATCGACAGAATAACGTCTGTGGTATTGGAAATTATTGAGGGCTCGTTTTATTCTTCACTATTGTTTCATGAGCTGCGTTGACTCTATTAATAGTTCACCTAATTTGCTTCTAATGACGTTCAACTTTGAAGACCATTATTTTTTTGTATCAGAATTGGATTTTGAATTACAGTTCAATTTAAATGCCTCGAAATGGGGTGAATATTTCAAAACATAATAATAAACTATTTGTCAAATTTGATGCGCGCTCGTAATAGGTAGTCACTTCATTAATTTTTCCTGCTCTTTCCAAATGTCGAAACAGATCCACAAAATTTTGCCATACAGTGTTATTTTTGAAATAAACAAGTTTTCTGTTCTTCCTTAGGACGAACCTGGATCCTGATCTCAATTTTTATCCAGTTTTGATGTGTAATATAACTGAAATATTCCTATCAAGTATGAATAGATTATACAACAAACCGTCAAAGTGTCCTCTATCTGCCAGTATCGTATGTACATTCAAGTCTGAAACACCCTGTATATTATTCAAACCTTTCAAATTTTCATACACGTCCAGAATTTTCTCCTAGTATTTCTGAATTACATCTAATGAAGAGATTACTTATTTTCGTAAAGTTTTTTCCGGAAATGCATAACAAGGGTGAAAAAGAACTTTGAAGGGATAATAATGAATCTTAGTTTATCAGCAACATCCTCTGTCAAGCCCAAAATATCAAATTCATACTCTCAACTTTGCTGATGGTTATCTAGACGTTTCATTTGTAACATCCTGTCCAATCAAAAGGTATTTTTATGAAGAGTTGTCAGTATTTATGGGTGTTCCAACCAACACTTTTTTTATTTTCAGACGTATTGTAAAACTGATCTTTATCGTAGGGTATATGTTCCTTAGAATACCCATTTTCGGAAATAGTTTTTAATGAAGATAATAACTTTGTATTCAGAAATACCAACAGCCACAAAAACATTGGAAGACAATTTTGGATTATTGTGTCAACTGGTCGATATTTTTCAAAATTACAATTCATGGTGGAGTTTCTACAATTTCGCATCTTCAAAATACGGCTACTAGGTTATTAAGAATCCTCCTCCTCTTTTTTTTCTCTTTTTTTTCTCTTTTCTCATATCTCTCTTTCTCTCTCCTGTTCCTCTTCATGATTGAACATTTTTTTTATCAAAAAACATTCCCAATTTCATGAAAAGACACCTGATTCAAATTCTTTGAGTTGGTACTTACTAGTTAGTTAGTTATATATGATTATAGGAGGCAAAAAATCACCAATTCAGGAACAAAGTATGGGTTGTTAAATTTTTTCAAACAAGGGATTCAGAGAGAATACTATAGAAACATCAATTGAATATACAAGATTTTCACGATAATCATAAAATGCCACACTAATCAATGAATCTGTTGGTTTTCCATTTTGGTATATTTGGCGAGAGTTTTCGAATAATACGTTGAATTCCGTTATGAAGCACACATTTCCTGTAAACATCTAATTTTCAAAGCCCTCAAAGTAAATGTTTTCCCCGACTGTTAGTCCTATTTCGTCTTCTATAGCTATTACCTAGTTGACACTGTTAAATACTATATTGTCTTTCATTCTGAAAAGGTTGATTTTGTAGGATACACAAACACAATGAATATTCCTATTCATTTGATCCTAAAGATGAAACGAATTGTATTGACTCAGATTCAAGAAGCATCAATTATCAACAGATATTTTTTTCGAAACTCTGTCCGTTTGTCAAATATAAGAACAACCAAATAACTATGATCATTGAAACCGGGTGATTTTGAATTCCTCAATGTCAATCCATGAGGTAAAGCAATTAGAATAAAATGAGACCATTGGATATCAAAGACAACTGATGGTGCACTACCTCAAATTGATTATTTTATCCCAGGGAATTCTCGATTATTTTTAAAATACCTGCCAATACGGTACATTTTCACGAGACAACTTCGGGAATAGGGAAGTTGGCGTCATTTAGATATTATTATGTCTCAAGCCATCGAAATTATTGATTCCTCTTGTTGGGTCGACTTAGTTAGTTTTTGTTCTATATTATGATTACTAGTTGATTGTAAGCATACAAGTAGTATACATCAACTTGAGTAAACATCTATCTGTCTCCAAACGTGTTCGGGTACGAAGTCCAATTCGGTTATCATAAGGGCATTGAAGAGGAATATTCTCAGAAGAACACGATATCTTCAGAAAAAGCTCCAGCTAACCTAAATTCGTTCTTGTTCAGAATAGCCCGCAAGAACTGCGGACACTTCGCCGAATGACCAGCAGGTTTCACAGCGTTCACCCTCATCACGAACTCCCTCCCAGAAGGCGCCGGAAACACTCCGTTTCCCGACCTTTTAGCATCTTCCATACTCTCCTGTTCCCCAGAAAAGTTCTGCATCTCTGAGAACATCGATACAATCCTACCACCGACGTCAGAGCCATCTCTGCCTTCGATCTCCACCTCTTTAGCAGCGACCAAGTTAGCCACCACGCCACTGACCGTTTGATCTTTCGCTCCCGAAGGATTGAACTTGTATTGCAGCGAGTTGATCTGGGAGATGAGCAACTCTAGCGCTGTCACTTCTTGAACGAAGGCTTCGAAACGGCGGGGCTGCAAGTCCGGGTCGCGAGACAGTCGCTCGCCGTGGCCCAGGAGGCTTTTTATGCGGTAGTTGGATTCGGAGAGTTCTGCGGAGACGTGCCGACATTCTTCTACCAGCCGGCAGATGGCGGCGTGAGAGAGGACTGGGATGACGAGATCGCATATCTGAAACAATGAAGAACACTCGAGATTAGTGTCAATTCAGTTCATAAAGCCTATGTGTTGGGCTGATTCAACATCGCCAAGACGAAATTGAATGTCAACATAACGATACGCGTCCTTTCAGAAGCTGAGAGGATATGTCATATAGCCAAATTCACCACAATGCAAATTCTCACGGAGACGTTCGTTTCTATGGGTTCCTGGAAATGCCGGAGTAAAAGGGAATGAAGTAGCAGTCAAATTCGCTAGGAAAAGAGCTCAAACACCCTTCGTGGGGTCAGAACCATTTTGCAGGATCAGAATCAGTACTGCATCGAGAGAGAATTAGAAAAGGAAAAGCTAAACAGAGATCAGACATCTGAAAAAATCTTCGAAGTCTTAGAAATGTTAAGAAACTACAGGGTACATTTAACTACAAAAGATCCAACGCATATGTCGGTCTAAGCAAAAATAATCTTCGTATAGGTACTAATGAACGAGAGTTCTAACAGAACACTGCCGGTTGGAAGGATATAATAGCAAGTTCGGGTTACAAGAGGAAGACGAATGCAGTTCTATTAAATGCCTCATATCCTGAAATTTCTGAGGGCTATAGAACTAAAGAAATTGCTATAGCGTATAGAGTATCAAAAAACCTTTATAATACTAATATCTACAAATTCGCGAGACTTTGTAATGAGGTGAGTATGGTTTAGTAGATTCTGAATAACGTCTCCTGTCAGCTGCTAAACATTAACATTCAATCAATTGATGTATATCCATGTTTACCTGCGATATCGTCCGGGAATCCAGATTCTGCAACACTTTTTCAGCCTCCCTGGTGTCATCAAATAACCTCTTCTGTCTACAAGCAGGCACTGGCCTGGAAGACTCCCACATTTGCACCCAGATATTGTTTTCTTCGATCAACATCCTCGGACTCAGGTGGCCCTTCTTCTGTCCCCATTCGTCCATATCGTCCTCTTCTATCCAATCTCTCGGCGAGTACCACCTAAAGAGATTCGAGAATAGAAGATTTTCATCAGCTAATGCATCTAATCAGATAGCAATTACGTAGTAGTAGTATTAGTAGTGCTGGGATGTAAAAAACAGGAAGTTCAGTTAGTTTCAGATAATGCCAGTTATCTGTGATATATTCATGTATTCACAGAACATGCCAAAGACAAGGACAATCATCTAATGAAGATTTATGATATTTATATCGTATAGGCGGGTTTCCTTGTGAGAAAAATTGAATAAAGAGAGCATATTACGTTCCTGACTGACACGAATCCCATACAGCACGAGAGATTTCTTTTGTTTTCTAAAACTCCAATGACGACGGAATTGGTGTAGTGTACCAGAGCCCAACTCATGATCGCGAGGTCGTAGGATAGAATCCCAGCCAGAGCAAGAAATTCTTCTAATAATTCAATTCATGAATTGAAAATTGTAAATTGCTGGGGAGAGTTCTGCAAGATCTACTGTTGCGTTTCGATTAACAGTGTTGCTCCTAAGGTGGTGTATGGAGTTTGAGATGATCAAATCTGCAATAATTTCCGAAGCAGAGATATCTGATGAGATTCGAAGATCATTAGTTAGTGCATAGATTAAACGTGTTTCATCTATGGTTAGTGGAATGGAAGATCAAACCCAGATGAATAAATCAAGAGATGCACTCCTTTGATAAGTTGAGAAATTGCAAATTGTATTATTCCTCTAAGTAGATAAAGATTCTGATTGAACTTGAATCAACTCTTCTACATTTACCTCAGTAAGTTAAGAGCGACTTCAAAGCAATTTTTCCCACTACTATCCTGAGAAATCACCATTATTCAACGATTTATTTTTTGGTAATGAAATGGACGACTTTTTTGTCGGTTGCAGAAAAACATATTATGTATACCTCCGGTAAGAATGCTATTTTATAGTCCGGTAGTGGGAACAGAAAGACGTTTACAAATAAAACTTCATGACCTCGCATGAGATAATTGACATAGTATAGATGATGGAGGTTATATTTATATATTCGAGCTCCAAATAATTTCGATATCATAACACTAGATTCGATAATATAGAAGATGAATGGAATGAATCAACGCGCACATTTGGAGCAGTGATTGTGGTGCTTGGAGAAAGTTCTCTGAGCTCGAGAGAATTCATTTTATCTGGGAATCTGGGAAAGAATCATACACTTGTGAACCTCATGCACGATAAAGTTGTCTTCTGAATGTCTTTTACTTTGAATTTGTTTCCTTTTTTGTCGATCTAATATCACTTTTTGACCCCTGCCAACAGTCATTCATGTCATTCACGTCATTCCTTGTAGCGAGAAGTTGCAAATGAAATGGCACATTGAAGTGTTTCTGGTGGCGGAATCGGATAAATAAAACGCAACTATTGCTCTAGAAGTAACAGATATTGCATACAAACCAATCGCTCTGATTTATCTATACGTTGATACTAAATAAATTCCGTGAAACCAACCTGATGAAGTCCTCCACCACGGAGCCAGGATTAGCAGCCTTGAAAGACTCCATGTCCGAGAGCAGCGAAGCGCTCATGATCCTAGCCCTCAGCTCGGAGGCCTCAGCATCCGAACCCAGCTTGAGCAGGACGTCAGTGTCCTCCTCGAGCTGATCCTCGGTCTTCGGCACCGGTTCCTGCGTCACGGGAATGTAGAGCGGGTCTCCGTTCTTGAGCAGCTTCAGGTCTCCGAATTTGGTCAATCTGCCCACCGGTTGGTTCCAGAGGGAGTGTTTCTCTTTCCGTTTGGTTTCCTCGTCTACTCGGTCGGAGCAGTCGAAGAACTCGTCATCGGTGTCGGAGTTTTCTGCGGAGTCGTAGGTGGATCGGTGTGAGTTTTCTCGGGATAGTTTGCGCTCTATGCAGCAGTTGAGCATCTGGAGTTTCTGATTGAGCAGACAGGTGCGTAGGTCAGGAACGCCTGGTGCCAGTCTGTAAAGAATGAAACTGTCTTCCTCAGGAAACATTGTTGCAGAGCTTGTTACATTAGTCGAAAGAGCAAGGGGTTTCATTAGTTTATATGATAACTGACAGGATATGCTTTGGCTTTTGAGCTAAAATCGACAATGACCCAGGCAACCAGATGACGTTTCAGTGACGTATTTTTACGTCAGTTGAATGATCAAGGTGACGTCAGGAGTTGATGTCGTATGACGTGATAAATGACGTGAATAAGTCGCAGCCCAATGACGTCATATTACTCACGTTTCTGACGTCATCCACTCACTAAACTGTGACGTCGGGCTGACGTCGAAATGACGTCAAAATGACGTTCAGATTTGGTGATGACACGTGAAAGAGTTTCCTCGAACATGGTGTGATAACCACCACTGACCTCTGATGACATATAATATTGATTATGCATTGTTGAGTCTGCTTGGTGGTCCCTCCGGTGTCATGTTAATTGAATCGTATATTCAGCAGCGCTATCCCTCTGTACGCATCACCATCAGCATGAAATCAGTTATTTGTATAAAAAATTATGTAGTTTGTGTCGGCGAGATGTGAGCAAACCTGAAATAGTTTGCTAGCAATGAAGAGGATGTTGGCGAATTCAGATTCACTTTGTTGAGTAACGAATATTCATGCATTCTTTGTCACCCAACAAACATATGAATAGCAAATTATTGAAAATTTTTCTGAATGACGAAGCTCACCAAATTGGTACGTCACACCGACGTGATTATTAGACGTCATAGATACGTCACTGCAACGTCATTAAATTGTTTATATACATATATACCTTGATTGGTTTCCAAGATATACAGGGTGTCAAAGTATAAAAAAGTGTTCTCTTACTTTTTGGGTATATATAATTCCAATAAAACTTGCATGTTGATTTGTTTTAGTGAGTTAAACATCTATCGACATTAAAAGCATATATATAATTACCAAGACGTACAAGTTCCTATATATGTGTGTACAATGAATGAGAACACGATTTTTTTCTGAAAACTTTTCGACACTGAAAATGTCCTGTATATATAGGTACGTCACAAAACTAACGGTTCAACAATGTAAGTATACATGGTTCAGATATGGTCTGGGAAACATGGACGTCGACAGGACGTCCGTGCAACGTCATGAAACTGACGTATTATTTTACCTTTCTAAGTGACGTTCACTCGACGTCGAGATGATGACGTGATTCTCATAGTGACGTCATAAATCGGTGTGTGACGTTTCTGACGAAAAATCACCAATTAGGGACGTTACAGTGAGGTGATCATTCCAGATATATCGATCAGATACGGTTTATGTTCGATATATTCATATAGGGCATCGAAGATGGAAGTTTGAATAGGTTTTTTTTCTCCAATTATTCCAGTAATATCAGATTTGAATTCGGTGCCGTGTATTAACGTAACGGTCACATGGACAAAAATAATTCCTGTGCCACAGGTATTTGTTTTTTTCATGATAATATTCCATTTTGGATACTTTACGTCGTTCCTAAGATCACTTGACAAGTATTTGTCTGTGAACCGCGTAGGCACCTATCAAGGGCCAATAGTTTCCTTCATAACTACGGAATTATATTGACTTCTTCAAGAAAATAATTGGAGTCGATTGCGCTGGTACTAGAAAACAGGAAAGGGGGATCAGTGGGATATCAACCTAACTGGATTTTGATTAGCTGCGCCATCAGTACCTATTTATAGATATTTCCTGAGCCAATCATTTATTTTTTGCCTCATGAAATATTCAACAAAATGATTCGTTCTAGAGTAAATTAAAATGATACAGTTCGTAAAGCCGAGTATAACCAATCAGAAACAAAAATAGGCAGTCGTATGATAAGTATTCTAGAATACATTGTAGGATTTCTTCCATATAAGTTGAAAGAGATCATCCAAACGTCAGAGAAAAATATCAGTGGTTTCGTCATTTTATGTAGCGGGTGGTCCAGATCTTTGTACCGGGTGATTCAATGAGAGTGGCGACTGTATGTCAGGTACTAATAATTTTGCTAACAAGGTCCGATTCTGGAAAAAAAGGTTTGGTGAATAAATTAAAAGCACCATCCATGCAATTCTGGCTCTCACCGCGCCCTCGATATAGGGGGCGTGTCTTATAAACTTTTAGTTTCTAAAATACATACCATTATGAAATCACCTGATAAATAATTCAGAGAGACAATAGAGATTTTAAAGAATTATATCATTCCATATCTAGGGGAATACAGAAGTGATAATGTTCAAAGTTGACACACTGCCTATTTATGAACGCCCTCATCCACAGTACAAGTCAAAAACAGTACCGTACAAAATAGTGTGATATTCTATATTTATCAAAGATGCATATGTCAATGATAATAACTTTCATCATTCATGGCCGAATACCAGAAGGATTTTGGGTCGTTTATTTTAGAAAACCACAAAACATATCTTACCTACGTAATTATCTCATGTCTATAATGTCAGATTTATTGAGTCAAGATATGAAAAAGCTCATATTCCAGATTAAATCGAAAACCCTTCCTATGAGATTATTATAAATAATATTTCTTATTGACTTTCCAATTTTCAACACTTTATGGCGATGGTTGCACGATTGACTTACTAAAAGGCCATGCTAATTAGATTGAGGAAAATGCATTGGTTAGGTTAATATCAATTTGACAGTTCGGAAACGAATAGCAGAAAGTTGTATATTTAGTTGCTTCAAAGAAAATAAATACAAACATTCGAATTTTTTTGCGCAGTTTGATCCGAAATATTTATCCTTGGATAAGTTCACTGTAACAATAATAAAACACCCTGCATCTTGTTCTATATATTAACAATGAATACAGTGTAGCTCTTGGGTTGAGTATTGTATTAATTGCATACTTTATGCACAACAATTACGAACAAAATTAATTGTGGGAAAAAGGATTCATATTCAATAATCATAATCTTAATAACTGCTTCAAATACTGATCAATAATGCATTATGTACCGATTCTCAATTCAGAAAACACATCCTAAGTGGATATATCTCAATCGATGAAATATCAATTTGGATCATTATCTATTTCCGGAATGGGAAATGAATCGAGGGAAATTATCTTCCCATTCAACGGGCAATTATCCTTCAATTATCGGATGCTTATATATAAAATTAGCTGTAGCGTCAAACGGGACCTCTGAACCTCTCCAAACAATAATTCACAGTATGCTTGTTTCCAGTGTTTCCTGTTTTTCCTCTTCGTATAAATCTTCCACCGCCTCCTCCAACGATACGTGTTATTAGCCACTACGTAACAACGAGAATATGTTATTAAATCTTTTGTTCTTGTGGGAATGGGCGATGAGAATTATCTTCGAGAATTTGATCCAATTTTTCGCTCTACTTGGCGATTTTCTTTGCACATACACACAGGCGATCGTAATGAGATATTGTAACTTTTTTCCTTCAGTTCATTGACAAATACTGTTTGTTTTTCCCTCACAAAGAAATTATGAGAAATGTCATGCAATGTTGTTGAGAAACCATGGGAGTTTCCAATTATTACATGGATATGTACATATGTATACGTTAATTTCTTCAATAGCAGATGGCATGGCAGGATGGCACTTTCTCAGTTAACACAGGATATCTTATGGATATCCATTTCAAGTCCTATTCAAGGCGGGATATCCGTGGACTTAAAATTTATATCCATAAGATATCCGATAGCGGATGTACTTGAGATATCCGAAACAAACGTCTTGAATACGTCCATAGGATATCCATAAGATACATAGACAAAAGATTAATACCTAGAAATTTCAAATCAAGTATACAATGAATGAAATGATAAATAACAGTTGTGCATGGGCCTTCCAAAAGATAGCACACATCGTGATGCACTATCTGCTATTATTATTAATTCGCTTCTCAAAAACAGCGCGAGGTGGCGTATCGTCTCAAATAGTCCAAGATTGGTAGAACTGATGACTATTTATAGATCATGGATTCTACCAACCTTGGAATAGTCATAGTCAAATAATGTCAATCTGTTCTCATATTTAATTAATTTGAAGTGAATTTGAGAGTGATATCTACGAATTCGTCCGAAATTGATTATGCATATAAGAACTGAGAACTACATTATTCGAACGCAGTGAGACGTGAGTGCTTCCCAATTGATGTGATTTTTTCTATATATATAGGATATACTATCTCTTATCAATATCCATAGTTGATATCTTATGGATATCCATAATGAATATCTCTAAGACATCCAAAAAGGTCACACGGTCACATCCTATGGACGTCCATAGGATATACCAGAGCCTTTTTCGGATATCTTATGGACATCCGCAATATCCATGATGGATATCCATAGTATATCCATAAGATGTACTTGTGCTATCTGGGTTTGTTCATAGCCATCATTAGGCTCATCGAACACACAGAAAAAAAGGATTTGTTGCACCAACAAGATTATGTTGGTCATTTTTTTTTTGGCAAATTGAAAATTTTTATCAGACTATCAATTCCAAATTGGCATTATTGAGAATTCCATCAATTCCGTTCAATTCATTTTGTGCACACCACACACACGTTTTATACCGTTTTCTCCATCACTTATTTTATCAAAAGCACCCAGATGTTGTTATTCTCAGAATAGCCCTACCAAATTTCGATACATATTCTCAGACAGGGTCATCGAATTATCTATGACGATATGATTATTGTAAGAACAATTGCGAAAAGTGCATCCCAAAAACTTGGTTTTCTGTTTAGGGCCAGGAGCTATTTCACTTCCAGTCAGCTGCTTATGATCTATAAGGCACACATCCGACCTGTCCTGGAATACTGTTCCCATATTTGGAGTGCAGCAAAAAAGGGCAATTCGTCTCGTGGGTGATGCCTCGCTCACAAACTCACTCACTTCTCTGAAACACCGTAGAAAAGTTGGCGATCTGGCTCTATTTTATAGATATTCTCAAGGACGATGCTCTTCTGAAATATCAACAATTCCTTGGCAGTCCCCGCGAGATTAATCCGTCGAGTTGAGGCTTCGCACCCCTTCGTGGTCACTTTGGAGACCTGCAGAACATCTCATTCCAAAGACTCGTTCATCCAACGAACAGTGAGTCTCTGGAACACATTGGCAAGGGAGGTGTTCCCCGAGGCAAATAACCTCCAGAAATTTAAGAAGAACACCAATTCCTACCTCATTTCCCTTAGTTCTCACGATGTTCTCTGAACATTACAGGATATCCCTTTTCGTGGGAACCAGAACATAAAAAAGTCCCTGTTTCTCCTTCCGTACATCTTTTATCTCGGAGCCTGAAGGACTGATCCGCAGACGAAAAAGGAGAAAAAATTGAGCATGTCGATTGCCCCGAGCATGAAGTGTCATGGTGTAACAAGGTGCACCGCATACCACGACGGACCGGTGCACCGTTTACCCAGTTAACAGCCAGAAGTGGTAAGATGAGTTATACAAGGCAATGTCCGGCGTGAGTGGATCTTCAATCGCGCTTGAAAATATACCGTGCAACCGTAGATATTCATCGTCCTGAATATCGTGCCCGGATCAATATTCGTGATTTGTATATATCGGACCATATTTGCATGGGTAAGAACTTTTCTGATACAACTTCTGGAACCCTTTTCAATTCAAAATTACAACTCATCAATTAAATTCACATCAAATTGATATACAAATATACAATAGGTACTGTTTTTTCCTGAACTCATAAATCTATAAATAAATGAATCTTTGGTGGAAGTTCATATTGCTCAAAGTGGAGTGAAGGAAGGAAGGAAGGAATGCTTAGTCATATCCACAAACTTTGATGGTGCTGTTACACAATCATAAGGGACATGTTTCGGTCTTACGGAAGACCATCTTCAGCCTAATTGAAAGTTTTGGAGTTGAAAGAATGTGATGCTACTAGTTGTGGAATTGTTGCCAATGCCCATAGTCGAAAAATCGAGTTTATACATGAAAAAACGGGTATAACAGCACCATTGAAATTTGTGGAGATGACTTAGACCATTCCTTCCTTTATAAATGAATGCGCCAATTTCATTGATAAGTTATCATTGAGATTTCGCGTTATTGCTTGACAAGTCTGAAAGTAACGTGCTGACATGACAGCTAGTTCATGGAAGTGTCTATCGATGACCAATACAATATATTTCCCGTTTAGGTACTAAAATAATTTGCTGAAAAATACATCGAAATCATGGGATCATAGAAGAACCTGTGCTCACAACGTGCGAAGTGTGTGTTGTCACATATTTGAATTGATTTGTTGACCATATTTCACTTGGAAAAGGTCAGACATTTTGTGCTATTTGTTGGCAGGAGTTACTGTCAAATTGGATGTCATTTTTTGAATGCATTTGTTGCATTTTACTTGTTCCATTCTGGTAACGGTGGTGGGAACACAATGACGTTTACAAATAAAACGAAAAACTTCACTAACTTCAGAGAGAATTGACATATTATCAAAATGATAGCGGATATATTTATATATTGGGGCTCCGAATAACTTCGAATTCATACTAGAGTTAAAACACGAGAAAATAAAGCAACGCATATTTGGAGCAGTGATTTTGGTGATTAGAGAAATTTTCCTGAGATCGAGAAAATTTATTTTATCTGAGCATGAAGATATCAAACCTGTCTTGAATCATAATCTTGTGAACCTCATGATGGAAGTATCTTCTAAATGTCTTCTACTTTCAAAAAATTTGGTTTTTCGTTAATCTGATCTTTCGACAACTGTTAACAGTCATTCTACGTCATTCCTTGTAGTGAGACGCAATGAAAAGTAGCAACCACAATAGGAAGAGTTGCAAATAAAACGACCCATTCAAGTGATTCCGAGAGAGGAATCGGATAAATAAAACGAAAGTATTGTCATTTGAAAAACGAATAAGAAAAGAAGTTGTTCTTGCTCTGATTTTGAATAATTAACACTTCATCAGTTTTTGATCTTATGAAAACTCAATTATTTTAACTGTGCGGCCGATTTTATTCACAGTTGACATCTTTGTAGCCAACCTAACAATACGAAATGTATCAATCTTGAAAATATGGCCAATTGATGTTAACAAAAATTTTATTAAAAAAAAAAGTTGAAATGTAGGCAATTTTTCGAATTGTGCATTTTTGACGTTTGTTTCATACCCATAGGGTAAGGGTAATGGAAATACAAAGAATATCCAAAACCGTTTTGTTTGTGCAAATCGGCCAAACCGTTTCAAACTAACAAGCGTTCACCTCCTCGTTCAACTTGGAAACATGAAAAATAACGTTCGGAATGAATTATTCCAAAACCGATTTTTTTCTGTCTATAAGTGAACGGTTAACATTTGGAACATTTTTGAGCAATTGTCACTCAAAATGTGGTTGCATTCGGAAGTTATTTTGGTTCTTCATATTTTTCAGAATATTTTTTGAAGCAAACTTTCAAAGGCTTGTGACTTTGAAACGGATTGGTTGATTTCCACAAACGAAGCGGTGTTTAATAAAGAATCGAGAGGCCTTCAGGATGATGTAACACGAGACTCCCCTTCACATTTAGGAAAAAGGTTCTTGGTGTCCTCTTGACACTAGCCACTATATGAATGAGCCCACGTAATGAGTAGTGAAAGAAGTATACCTTTTCATCTGAATTTCCCCCGACCGCGCTAGCATGTTCCGTTCAAAAGTAAAAGAAGGCAAGGACTTTTTAAGTCCTCACTGTATATAAGAATCATAAACAAAACTAAACTTCTTTGGACGAAAAAATCATAAAGCAAACAGCCATAAACATAAACTACTATTATATCTATCACCTATCTTGAAACCTATAATTATTACCTCCCTCTATCCCATATCGACGCCCTTGGTTAATAATTAAATTTGTATTTATCTGAATAAACCTTTCTAACGAGGTATTAGTTCCATATCAACTCACAAGTCTGGTTAATGTAGATAGAAGCTATTTTTCTGTTGATGATCAGAAATGAGTCCTTATAAAAATGTATGTTTTACCGTGTTATGTAACATATATTATGAGAAAACTGTCAACAAATCAGTATGTCGATGGATCCTATGACCGCTAGATGCCGCTAGCCAAAGACATCGGTTATATATACACCGCTAGTATAACAGTATAACGGTTAGCGAACACAATTTCGTCCTTGGCAAATTATTGAAAACCGGATTACATAAATAGGTTTAGTCGTCGCAAGATCATCGATCTCTGAACGAAAAAAAAAAACATATTTGTAGATTAATCACGCCTATTCCAAGAAACAATAAAAGATTTCTTCAATTTCGTAAAACCGACCAATCACCAGGCATTTGTAGTGATAAAATAGCTTCTCTTCTCCAATCACCGATAACAATATGCACCTTGCTTTTGTTATCAGTGATATTCTTCCAATCTGGATTAAATGAAGGTCATTTGAAAGAATGTGTCAGTTCGTTCAGAACAAAAGAATATCACTATAATCAACCATGCCGCAAATGCATACGCACTACTCAGACAACTGGAACTTTCATATTATTTTCGAGTTTTCAATACAAAAGTGTCGTTTCAAAATGGCAAGATTTCGTCAAGAATCTTTAGAAAATATCGAAAAAACAGTAAAGAACGTTATTCCGAAAAGTACCTACAGTGAATAACCAGAAGTCGATATGGAAGCAGGAATATTTTTAAAAGGGAAACTTTATGATCTTAAAGAGACTACTTTTAATCAAGAGCTTGGATTATTCATGGAAGATTGGAGTTCCAACATAAAGAAAGCTGATGGTAATGATTATAAAGAATGCGTTATAAAGACTATGTGATGGAAAGCAGCTTCAGTCTATTCCCGACAAGAGGAAGCAAAGTTCGGTAAAACTGCATTTATCATTTTTCGAAACTTTTTTTTTGAATTACGTGTTTTGGTCTGAAAAAAACGAATTTGATGATGAAAATGTGAACAAACCATTATTTATTGAGATATTGCACTATAAAGTTACAAATTTTCCATTTTCCGCCTGTCTTCTGGATCGCATTTAGAACAATTTCGCCTTATATTTGAAAATCGTCGCTAATGTTCAAATCACCCCGTAATTGAGGGGAACGCCTAAGGAATGCCTTATCACAAGCGGCCTCGACGACTTATCGATATTCGTAATCATCGTGTGATCGAAGATTGAAGCAGGTTTAGTCATTAGCATCGTAGCATCAGAACGATTCACTTGTCGATGTTATACTTTTATAAATGGTCATCTTTGTACAAGCCGTCCTGAGTGAATGAAAAGGTGTTTGAGTGTTGAAATTGTGTCTATTCATAATGCCTCCATATAGAATCTTATGAGTCAACTAGAAATATGATATTTTCTTATGATTTATCCATATTTACTGAAAAAAGGAGGAATATAATTCAAAATTATGACGTGGGTAATGTCATTCAAAAGCAATCTGTTGACATTTGACATCTCGTATTTGGATTGACTATTGATTGAATGGCCGAATAAAAGAATCATATTTCCTGTTGAAATTTCCATATAAAAATGTGTCATTGAAGTACATCATGAGTAAATGCTTCCAACACCAAGGGGAAGAAGAATGCGAAATTTCGAACACTTTCTTGAAATATCTCGATAAATAGTGGTTTGTTCACATTTTCATTATCACATTGGTGTTCTTCAGACAAAAATACGTAAGTACAAAAAAAAATCGAAAAAAAAAACCATCGCATGATAAATGCAGATTTACCCAAAGTTCAACTGCTCTGAGTAAAGAAGAAATATATGAAATGATGAATTCTTGGAACGAAGAGTGTCCAGAAGGACTTCAAAAAAGCTTCATCATATATATTAACACACGAACTAGCCTGGAGAAGAGGCGAAGCAGCAAGTGCACTTTTCTCAAAGAGAAAAAGAAATCGAATTGCAACATAACCGGAAGAATTGAATCGGTACAACCCAATTTTTTTCAAAACATGCCAGGGTGGCGCTCAAAAATTATCAGACAGTAAGTGGTTAGTGCCTAATCACAACAATCTTCGTGTGTGCCCGGTGAGGTTATTTGAAAAACTTATTTTTAAACACACTAGAGGTAACTATTGAATCTATTTTCTTTTATCTTCAAAATCTGGTCACCACCCTATGTGATCGAAAATCGAGAAAGGTTGAACTAGGAGATTATAGATACATAGATCTATAAATATAAGGATAACATGATCTTGAACTGATATAAAATCTCATTCTTTTGCTGATACTTTGTTCATGTCCATAGAATGTTTCCATGCAGGTTTCACCTTATTTCAAACCCATTAACTAATTGGTGTTAATGAAAAACTAAATCCGTTCAACCACTCATTTCAATTACAGTACCTGCAATTTTGTCAAGAAGAAAGTGTGAATTGATTCTACTTTCGACGAAAACAGAACGAACTTATACCGATGTGGTCAATTAAGGAATTTTATTCAACAATTTATTTCCGTCTATATACCTTTATTTCGAGTTTTTGTGGTATTATTCATTACATAATTTTCATTTACCTTAATTCATTTAGCGTATTTCATGAAGTGTGCCCATTAGGAAATATGATTAGTTATATGATTTATATATATATAGTTGTATG